TGTGTTTCTGTCCTGGTGACACTCGTACAATCAGGACAGGAAGTGAGATGAATCTTCTCAATGAGGAAACAAAAAAACTTGACAGATATTCTAATTTACCACCTTCTCCAAAAGAAAAAAAAAGTTTTAGCTGGAGTTGGGTTTAAAGATGGATCAGTGGTCTCCAACCTGCGGCCCGGGGGTGGGATGTGGCCCTTTGCTTGCTTTTATCTGGCCCTTGGGGCACTATTTAATCCACTAACATTGAATTGCTCCCAGTGATACCAATGATGGGGCACAATTCCCACCAATGATGGGGCACAGTTCCTCCCAATGATACCAAGAATGGGGCCCAGTGACACCAATGATTGGGCACAGTTTTTCCCAATGACACCATCGATGGGGCACAATTACTCTCACTAACACCAGAGATGGGGCATTTGTTTACTGATGCCGGGTCCCCCTAAAGTCTGTAGGACAGTAAACTGGCTTTTTTCTTAGAAAGTTTGGAGACCACTGCATTAGATAAGGCTGAGGCAACAGAATACAAGAACAACAAACTTTGATAGTGAATTATAAAAAAAAAAAAAACACCACTAAATTAAGAAATGTTCCCATTGACACTATATGAACTGGCAGCGTCTCTTCTGATTGCAAAGGTAGTCACATTTAAATGAGAAAAGCATGTAATCTTATCTAATCAAGCATGAACTAAATTAAGTTGCTAATGCACAATTGTACAGTATGTTGGTATTTTCTTGTCATGTCTCTGCCAGCATTAGTGACTGCAAAATCAAAATCAAGACATCCACCCTCCAACCAGCCTGCTGTTTTCAAGGTACTATTCTGACATCAGAGATAGCAGACTTAATGGATTTAGTTTGAGTCCAAAACAATGCATGGGGTGCCCAGGGAAGTGCTCAAGGGACACTACGTGTGAGTTGCTGAGAGCCTATGTACAAGACTCGGGGATGTAGCTAGAGTGACCTCTGTGCTGCAGCTGATGGGTGTTGTGCTACTGGGATCCTGCTGCAAATACTGTTTTTTTTTTTTTAAGTCTGAGAACGTGCAAAAAAACGAAAAACCCATAAGTGTTCACAAAAAACGTGCAAGTACAAAACACCACACAAAAAAGTGCACTTAGGGGTGTGCTTTGTCCTTCCCCCGAAGGGGATGGACCTCTACCCTGATCCCCCGGGGCACGAAGCTCCTGACAGGGACAAGGTTCCCATTTGGTCCACCTAGCCAAAAGACCTGGCGGACCACCGTTCCTTGTGGCCAGCCGAAGCCAGCCACTCAGTACTTGGTCAGGGGGCTCTCCCGAAGAGAAAACCCCCTAGGGACAGGGGAGGAAGGAACCAAAAGGCCACACATCCTCCCCCTAGACTTCAGGGTAGGCCCGAGGACCCACACCCTCCATCCTGTGAGAAATAAAACACACACACAAAAGTGAAAGTGACAAACGTGGGAGAAAGAATAAATTAAATAAATAAAGTGGTCGTGCAGATTGTGCACTGACCAGGCCCTGAGGCCTGTAGCAAAAATTGCCCAGAACTTAGCCAAAAGGCTGGTCCTAAAAGGCACAGTGCAAGAAAAGTGTTTGAACACAGTGACCATGTGCCTTTTCACACGCTGCGGTCCCACACCCTAGTGTTACTAAGAGCACCCCTGAGGCGACCACTCAGGGGGCACTGGTTCGCGGACTTTCTGCCTCCCCGGCCCCTGGCCAAACAAGGTAGATCCGTTCAAATCAGGAGGAACTGGGCCCCTCCGGTTTTCCAGGGGGAATTACTCCTGGGTCCCAGCAGCCTGTGGGCGCCTCAGTTTCTGTTCCAGCCTGTACTAACCATCAGGACCCTCATCATACCAGCAGGGGTACTAAACAACCAATCATCCCCGCAAAGCTAGAATGATGGGGAGCACCCCTGCTGGACACTGATAAGAACAGATACTACACTTGATCTTAGCCAAAAGGCAGAGACTGCTGCAAATACTGTTGCCATTGCTGGAGGCTGCATTGCTAGGAACATGTGTACAGGGCCCTGGGGCCCTGAAGGACTGCCTACTGCTACCAACACTGCTGATAGTGTACTGAGAGCTGCAGAAGTGCATAGGAGTGCATGCTAACCTTCCTCAAACCACATATTCTGGATGTATGTTTGCCCAGTTCCAAGTGTTTCTGCTGATCCAGAGCTGTGATGAGTTAAGCTGTTCTGAACATAGCAGCAAAGACCCGTACCTGGAGGCTACTGACCAGATAGATTACTCTTCAGGGGACACAGGCAGCAGGACTTTTTTTTTTATAGTATAACCCTTGCCCATGGTGTAGGTAGGGCTTGGGATTGTTAGACAGAAAAGATTGAGCTATTACTAAGTTTATACCAGTTCCCACCCCCATTCAACTCCTATTCTAACTATCTTATAAATTATATTATGCTTACTTATTCTCCAGTCCAGTCTCATCATTTCCCCAGTGGTGAGGAGAGACCACTGACATCAGTTGCAATGCCTGTGCAGTAACATCACCCTTAGGATTCCTATGGGGTATCTGTTTTCGAGTGCCCCTCCACTTCCCTGAGGTTGCATCCGGGAGATGATCACATGACTGTGAATAGGTAAGTATAAGCATCTTCCTTTTACAGGGTAGTTAGAATAGGGTATAGAAGGGCGCTGGGGGCAGGTTTAAGCTTGGTTAGGAATAGCCTGGACTTCTACTTCAACCCCCCTTGCGGTATACCCGAGTGTAGCTTGAGGTTAACTTTCAGTACCAGAAGCGGTAACCCTGAGCTACACTCGGGATTACCTTGCAGTGTTGCTCTGGGATCCCTCCAGCACTTACCTTGTTCTGCACTCCCGCATTGTCCCCCCTGCAGTGTCCCCTGTAATGTCCTCCGGCCGATACCGGCATCTGTCTTCCGGGTTCCGTTCCCTGCGAGCGTCAGGACGTACAGGGGACGGAACCGGTGGGAAATTAAAAAATGTAACATTCACTCAATACACTAAAATCTGATGGTATTACATTACAGTATCAAACCATTTCACATACATTTTGTCCCTACTGCTTTGTCCTGTGCCCTGCATGCATTTTTACTGTTCTTTCTGCCTGGAAACTGAGAAATGTTCATGGCGTCCAAAAAGCGTCCCTTTAGGTCAAAAGCGGTTTTAGACCAGCTAGAGAACAGCGATAGTAAATTAGAACCACTTGCAGAATTGAGTGATAATAATTTGTGGGGAAATTCATCATCAGACACTGAAAACGATTTTGCGACTAAGCTCAGTGATGTGCGAACTTGGCACTCTATTTCAAATTTCATTGTTTTTGGTTTGATTAAGTTATTGAATTCAATTTATTATTATATTATTTTTATGATTATTTATTTATATAATTTATGATTTTGTGTTTCAAATTTTATCATACCCGGGATGTTTACTAGACTCTTGTTTGGACATATTTCAGTGAGTTATTCCTAAGAATAACAGGCCTACAATATAAAAAAACAACATATTTCCATTCAAAAAAATGTACCACTTTGAGCACAGAAATACTAACATAATCAGATTGCTAAGGAGGTTAAGTGTTTTAAATTGTGCTGATTGTTCTATATTGTGCTGATGGTTTAAGCAGTTGGTTCTAACCCACATTTTGCTTCCAGGTTTAAGCTTGGTTAGGAATAGTTTGGACTTCTACTTTAGGTGTTCTAAATTGTGCTGATTGGGCTGTTTAACCCTTTGACACCGACGTCACACAAATATGCCGCCTCACAGAACTGGGCTTTTTTCTGTGGGGCCGCATATTTGCGTACCTGTCTTTTTATGGGAGCATGCCACACAGAGTGCTCCCAGCACAAAGATCGGGGTGTCACTGAGAGCCCCGGGTCCCGTTCTCATGATTAAGACCCAGGACTCCCGATTCCGGGTCACATGATCGCTGTGATAGCCTCTGATTGACTATCACAGTGATCAATCACTGTACAGCCCGGCCCCCTTGTTTTTTTTTCTCTATGAATGGAGGAGAGAGATACATTGTATCTCTCTAACTACTGGCATAGAGGGGAAAAAAATGTTTGTTAGAAAAAAAAAGAAACTAAATAAATAAATATTAAAGAATAAAATAAAAAATAAAGAAAAAAAATACCTAGATCAAGGTTTGATCTAGTTCAGTGCCAAAGTAAGTGTTTGGGTCAAGGTAAGGGTCAAAGGTTAAGTTCAAAAGGTCAGAGTCAAAGGTCAGGATTTAAAGAAAAAATTGGTGTTAGCGTCAGTGTGTTTTAGGTAAACAAAGAACAAAATGTGCACTATTGTTTCTGGGCTGTACTACGGGTACAAACAACAAATAACATGCACATATATGGTATCGCTGCGATCGTCAAGAGCTGGAAAATTTATTTTGGGCTGTTCTTTGGTGGCAGGTTATGGTAGTAACAAGAAACACACAGCTAAATTTAAAAAATTTTTTTTTTTTTACTATTTTAGGCCAGTTTTCCTTTGATAATAAAAAAAAAAAAATCAGAAGATATCCATTACCATTTACCACCAAATGAAAGCCCAATTTGTCCTTAAAAAAAACGAGGTATAATTCACCTGGATGTACAAAGTAGTTGTGATGATATGTATGGTTTTACGAACACATGTCAACGTTGCAAAATTGTGATTAGGCATTAAGATTTGTTTTACCCTTAGGCATGAAGGGGTTAAGCAGTTGGTTCTGACCCATTTTACTTACAGGGTTTTTGCCTTTAATAGAGGCCATTGAAATGTGTGAGTTTTCCTTGCTGTCCCCATGACAACCACATCCTCCATCTTTTCAGTGTCACAGGGAGAGGAAATGGGAGGAAATCTTCCAAATGAGGTCAAAGACAGAAATTAAAAACTCAACCAAAATATCTCTTTGCCGCAAAATTTGGACCAGAGTAATTTCTTCATATATAATCTTAAATGTCTGTCATCAAAGTCAAAGATGAAATGAGGGAGAAAATACTTATTTTCTTATAACCACAAAGGTAAAATGAATTAAAATGTTACTAAACCCACAACAGTAAAATCAGCCTGTATATGCAGTAAAGCATGCTTGTTATACTCACTGTGGAACCTAAGGGGTTAATCCTCGGCATTGTGTAAAAAGGATGTTTGATCTTGTCTTCTCTGATCCTTCCCTTCTTCCAGTGTCCCCCTCTTATCTCCAGATAAGGCATATGGTGTGGAGTCACTCGGCACATACTCAGTTTGGTGTGCATTGCTAGAGGGTTTTTTTTTTCTTGGGAGAGTGCCTGTGATCAGCATAGGGCCAATCAGCATTGCCCAGACAGAGGTCAGGGGTTCTGCATCCTCCTAGAGCAGAAAGAAAACTCCTCCTGCAAGCTTTAACCAGAGCTCTGCTCAGGGGCGGACTGACAACTCATGGGACCCCCAGGCAATAGGGGATCATGGGGCCCCTGTGTCCTCTGATTAGGCATAGCATTATGACCACTGACAGGTAAAGTGAATAACTCTAATACACACCATTACAATGGCATCTGAAAATGGGTGTGATATATTAGTCAGCAAGTGAGCATGTTGTTCCTAAAGTTGAAAGCAGAAGAAAAGGGCAAGATGACTGTAATGGCTAGATGACAGGGTCAGAGCAACTCTAAAACTACAGCTCTTGTGGGATGTTCCCAGTCTGCAGTGGTCAGGAACTACCAAAAGTGTTCCACGGAAGGAAAACTGCCATCAGGGTCATGGGCAGCCAAGGCTCATTGATGCACGTAGGAAGCAACGGCTGACCCACGTAGTCTGATCCAATAGAAGGGCTATTGTGGCTCAAATTACTGAAACAAAATGAATGCCGCTTCTGATAGCAAAGTGTCAGAACACAAAGCTTCGCAGTAGACGCAGATCGGTCAAGATGCCCGGCTAACCTGTGTTCCCAGCCAAATGCACCTACAATGAGCACCTGAGCATCAGAACTGGACCAGCAATGGAAGAAGGAGGCCTCGTCTGGTGAATCGCATTTTATTTTACATCATGTGGATGACTCAGTGTGTGTGAATTGCTTACCTAGGGAAGAGACAGCACCAAGATGCACAACAGGAAGAAGGTAAGCCTTAAATGATTGGCTCCAGATACTACAACATACCTTCAGAGGTCTAGTGTGTCCATGCCTCAACGGGTCAGGGCTGCTTTGGAGGCAAAAGGGGGACCTACTCAATGTTAGGTGGATGGTGATAATGTTATGGTGGGTGACAGGAGCGGACTGACAACTCATGGGACCCCTGGGCAATAGGGGATCATGGGGCCCCTGTGTCCTTGCCCAAACTCAAAAAAGCCTATGAAAAAGGTACCAGGGGCATCTCATGGGGCCCCCTACAGACCCTGGGCACTCGGGCAGTGCCCGAGTTTCCAAATGGTCAGTCCACCCCTGGCTCTGCTGGACACTGATAGAAGTCACAAGACTGCTCTAACTGCTGATGAGAAAAGATATTTAGCAGTTTATATTTACCAAAATAATGTAATTTCCATGTTCTGTGTACTGTGGGAGACCAAACATAGTGAATGCAGGGTCCTGGGTTTAGTAACTCTTTAATGTTGTGGGTTGCTTCATCCCAACACACAAAATCACAAAGAGAAGAAATGAAAATGTACATGGCAGAAGGTAGGTAAAGACTTTACCGTTCTGGTGTAGACTGATAGTATGAAATATGTATAGTTTTTAAGTACCGCTGAGCTGAACACATTAAAACATGGTGGCAGGTCTCATCTACATATAAAAGTATAGACTCATTAAAGGCTGCTGGTAAAATTAGCTCTATAAACCTAATGAATAATATGGAAGAAGCAAAACTGTGTACCATAACTTAGAAGACAAGGTTTTAGAAGTATAATTAGAGATACTCTGATCTTTATACTTATATGGATCAAAAGCACCTTAGGAATATCAAAGTGCTGGCCATACTTACCTTTCCAGCCTCAATAATTCAACGGGGTCTCCATCGTAACATCCCTCATTAAGAAACAGATTTGGAATCAAAGCAGAAGCAGATCATTTTAAGGAGAAAGAACAGCTGTACCAGATGCTTTAGATTGGAAGTGTGTGTTTACATATTACACATAGCAGGTTCTCCTGTAAATAAGTGTATACCATAATTAAAGGAGATTTCTGGAATGTATGTCTGGTAGTATGTGAGATGCATGCTAAAAGCATCTGTGCTACCCATGGTAACTAGATTCCAGCTATTGTCCTATTGCAGCCAAAAATGTTTTTGCTGTGAACGAAATAGAACCAAAATAGTATTTGAAAAAAATGAAGTGCATTTTTTGCTTTTGCACAGATGAGCTTCAAAATACGTGTATAGTGTTGTGCTGCTCAAAGAACACAGATAAAAAACACAAAGTCCAAAAACACCCGTGTGAAAAATAAAATGTGAAAGTCCAAATAAAATAGTCCAAGGAATAAGAAGAAACAACTCTTCAAAAAGTCTCAGTGGAAAAGACCATATATCTACTGGAGAGTGAGTCTGCAATCCCAGTGCTGTAAATCTTTAAAAGGAATACGCCACCACGGTGAGCATATGGTAAAGAAGGACGCTCACCTTCATATATGGACCTGTATAGAAAACAGGTATCATGATGCATGACGATACTCATGGGGAGGAGCTTGGGTGATGTCAGAGCTGGCACGCTGTCAGTCTAGTAGGAGACACATTGTACAGCTTTACCACTACCTATATACTGCGTTTTTTGTACTGTTACCATGTGAGTGTATTTCAATATGTTTTTATGAGCTTTTAACAGACGTGCTGCACTATGATCGCTTTATATAGTTGTTGAGTTCCATTTACAGAAGCGGTCTTATCGTACAGAGGGCTTGTTGGAGGACACAGTGGCCATATATAAGGGGAGGATTTTGCACAGAAGAGAGATTACTACATTACCCCCATTAGGAGGAGAGATGCCCTATTGATCTGTTTTCTATATGGGTCCATATATGAAGATGAAGGTCCATCTTTGCTATATGCTCACTGTGGTGGTGTATTCCTTTTAAAGATTTACAGCACCAGTATTGCGGGCTCACTCTTCAGTAAATATATGGTCTTTTCCACCAAGACTTTTTGAAGAGTTGCTTCTTCTTATTCCTTCAACTGTTTATTTTATTTGGACTTTCACATTTTATTTTTCACACAGGTGTTTTTAGACTTTGTGTTTTTTTATGTGTTCTTTGAGCAGCACAACACTATACACATATTTATACATTTTGTATGATGAGCACACATTTCACATGTTTGCAGCAGTTTTTATTTATTTGAGTTCATTTATTATATTTATTTTGGTAGTGCACAATTGTTATATATTCTTTTTCTTACAGATGAGCTACAGTTTGTAAAAGAGCAGTGAGTACAGCATGCTTTTACAAAGCATTTGCAAAGTTTTCTGTAAGCTTTTAGCTGACATTTTTTGACTACGTTCACATAATCGTGTTTCTTGAACGTGTGCAAAATTGTGCTTGCGGTGCTCTTTATTGTTAACGACACTCTAAACACAGCTATCATTTTGAAGAAAAAAAATGTGAAGCTCAAAAAAAAAATGCAAGAGCTACTTGCCATATTTCACACAAAGGGCAGTATGTACTTTTTCCTTCTGAAGCAGCCACGTGGCATGGCAAAATGAATCCAGGACCAAGATATCAGGATCTGACTCAGGATGAGAAACAGGATAGGCCACAGAGATATTAGAATCGAAAGCAGACATTGCTTTGAAAACCAGGTCCTGCCCTAGTTCAAAGGACGCATTATCGCTCTGCGGCTGAACGTCATGTGAATGTTCATCTGCGATTCTGAATTGGCTCCCATTCGCCTAATCTCTCCCACAGCTACAGGAAAATTCCTAAAGAAGCGAGGAGACCCCCCTAATTGGAAGAGGGATAACTCCATCCATCCATCCACCCCCAGGAAAATTCCTAAAGAAGCGAGGAGACCCCTTAGTGGGAAGAGGGATAACTCCATCCATCCATCCGCCCCCAGGAAAATTCCTAAGGAAGCGCGGAGACCCCCTAGTGGGAAGATGGATAACTCCTTCCATCCATCCGCCCCCAGGAAAATTCCTAAGGAAGCGAGGAGACCCCCTAGTAGGAAGAGGGATAACTCCATCCATCCATCCGCCCGCAGGAAAATTCCTAAGGAAGCGAGGAGACCCCCTACTGGGAAGAGGGATAACTCCATCCATCCGCCCCCAGGAAAATCCCTAAGGAAGCGATGAGACCCCCTACTGGGAAGAGGGATAAATCCATCCATCCATCCACCCCCAGGAAAATTCCTGAGGAAGCGAGGAGACCCCCAACTGGGAAGAGGGATAACTCCATCCTTCTATCCCCAGGAAAAAGGGATAATCTCATTAATTTACCCCTAAATCCAATTAAAGGGGCACAAGCCTTGTACGATCTCACTTAACGGTTTGGTCATATATGTCAGGTGAGAGCACAACTGGTGAAGGTGCACACTATTGTTATGATTGGTGGACTGCACGCTAATTACTTCGTATCACACTACTAGAAGGAATATCAAAAGTCACGGATTAATTAAGGACACTTTGCAGCAGCAGTGTGATTTGATTGTCGCTTTTAATTTGATGTTGAACTATAATTTATTTCATCCACCTATTTGATATCATTTTACTGCTATTGTTAGTGGAGCACGACACTATCTTTGATTCCGTTCTATGTATGTAACGCAACAATATACATATGTCTGACGCTTGATGTTGCAAGTCATAGTGTGAACAGGGTGTTAAAGCAACCTAAAGCAGCTACAGTATGGGGATGTTACACAGATTATAGCATAGTGCTGACCGTCTATTTAGCAAGTTGCTGAATGCCTGCTGAAGTATTTTGGAAGCTTCTATGAAGTGCTAATAGGCACTCCTGTTGGTATCTCTGGTTATGATTAGGAATTTGCTTGGGTTCAGTCCGAATCAGTGTTTGGCTGAACCTGGCCAATCACATTTGATCGGGACAATAACCACCCAGCAGCTGCACATATGCAAAGAGATAGGAGTGCTTGTGACATCATTTACCTAATACGGCCACATCCATAGTTAGGATTCCAAAACTGAAGTTGAAGGCTACTTATAAGAGAAGTATGGTATTTTTTAAAAATCGTACTTACCTAGGTGGATGCTGCATTTGTCTCCCGCCGGCTCCAAGCGTGAGTACTCAGTGATCATATGACCGCTGATCACTGAATTCTCACAGCCATTCTGAGCAACTGTCAATCACTGCTGTCTGCTCTGCCACTGGAAAACTTGGCTGTGAAAGGGGAAAGAGCAGCTGGCTCAGGCGTGCAGCACATCGCTGAGAGGCTGAGCCAGGTGCCACTCCAAACCCTGGGTAAATCCTGACCTTGAAATCGGGATCTTTCCCCAGCCTGGACCCGGCCGAGTGACGTCAGCCGACAGCATGCTTCAGCGAACTGCACTCCTGTGATCCACAGGAGCAGTACAGCCAAAAAAGCTTTAGCTGTACTTCTCCTTTATAGAGACTTGAAGCTTGCTTTGCTTTCAAATGCTTTGTAAATATTTGCTGTACACACTGCTTTTACACAATTTGAAGTCGGTCTTCTTCAGCTATTACTCAACATCTTAGTTTATCTCTAATATATGCAGGCAGATCAAGAAAGTTTGCAGATATATTTCACATTTTCCATGTCTCTTGGCTGTGAAAGCTATACCTTAACTATTAAACCTGAAGTTTAATTTATTATTTTGTTTTCCCAGGTTCCTCATTTCCCACACCTCACGAACATGCTAATTACTGTTTTGAATAAAACCTTTCATTTTTCATTACATATCTTATTTTAGGCCCAGTCTTAGCTAAGTCTAGTTGCTTTTCTATACAATGCGGACAGATAATGGCTGATGGGAGCGATCGGCATGGTGCTGGACACGGCTTCCTGAAAACTTCACAGCATTCTTTCTCAGTAAGGGTGTCGGATTAAAGAAAATTGCTTCCAGCAATAACTGTTTAAAAAGGGATTTCCCTTACTTAGGAGAGATTTTCTCTTACACACTGTTGTGTCTATAGGACAGGGAGTAAAAGGTATCCCACATGGAAGAAAAATATATTTGAAATATATTTGAAAAAAATATTCTTCCCAAATATATTGCCAAATATTTGAAATGCTACAATTTTGGCCATATTCAATATATTTCAAAATATATTTCAATAAATATATATATATACATATATACTGCATGTCAAAATGTGTTTTTATTACAAAATATATGAAAAATATTTTTTAAAATACATTTCAAATATACTGTATGTCTTTAAAAATACAATTCTACATTTCTGGAATGCATTTACAAATATATGTAAAAATATATGTTAAATTACTGTTTTATATGTTAAAAAAATCTGAAGAATATATTTTAA